AATATGTATTCTTCAACTATTTTACTAGCCTTTAAGTTAACTGTTTTTATGACTACTTTGTACTTGTTTGACGGTAATAAATATCTCTGTTGTTCTCGTTCATTTTCTATCGATGAAGTTTGTATAAGTGTACTCTTCCATAATTGCCAACATGTATACGGATTACATTCACTTTGTATGTAGGCATAACAGGTCTCAGCTAACTCATTCAAACCATACTTATTAGCAATATATAATCCTAATTGTAAGGTGCAATCAATGCTGAAACGTCTTATAATTAAATTTTTATGACAGTAAATTATTTTGTTGTCATTTACACTGTTTATTATTCGTTTTATATTGATTTCATTCTCTGTTGCCTCTGTTATTGTATTATTAAAACTATTACAGTATTCTTCATTAAAATACTGAATACTAGTAATATTACAACTTCCTATATGACAATAATGTATGATAAAGGCTAATTCTGCAATACACTTTGAATTCTGACAGTAAATAAATAATGGATTTTGTAACATTAATTCCTCGTGTTCATATTTAAATTTTTCTAGTTCATGTCGTATTTTTTCGGCATTTCTTGATCTTATTGAATACTGAGTAGTTTCACTCATTGTTTGAATTAAACTTTTGTCTTTATTTAAGCGTAATAAATCTTTTAATTGTTTACTTTTGGTAGCTAATTTATAAGCATTAATATACAGTATTTGTTGAGTATTTAATATAACTAATGGATGGTTTAGTGCCCATTGCATTGAGTAACCTGTTAGTATATTATGCGGTATACTTAATGAAGATTTTTTCTCAAGTTTATTAATGTTCATTGAAATGCCCAGAGTATCTCCAGCTTCTGGGATTTGATGGAAACCAAACATTTGCCTATTTACTCTCCTTTCTGTTTATATAATTTTTCGATATATATCTCCCCCTTTCTAATTTAATGTTATGCATGTAAATATATCCAGTAAATATGCTCCTATTGTAGCAAAGTAAATTATTGATCGATATTTTAAAAAGCATACTAAATAATTGATCGTTCATCTGATTATTATTACTATTATTATTGTTTACTGAACATCCGAACATAGTGATGGTAGATAAAGAAGTGGTGATAATATGTAACCAATAGCCATAAACATCAATCACCGTTAACAGGAAAAATCTGAAAGAAATCACTGCTAACTAACTAAAGTCAGCAAAGATGGGATGTCAAAGCCAGCCAGGAAAAGCAAAAGAGACCTACTGCATCCAGTATATGAAACAATATTCGGATTTTAAACACTAATTTCAAGTCAACGCTTCTATTATGGTTCAGTGATCTGAAGTGTCATCAAAAGCATCGCCCAGAGCCTACCTTAAACCTTCAACAGCAATTAACCTTTCTCACTTCTGAAGATCAGATTTCCGAAGAGATGGGATAAGCAACAATGGATCTTTGGTAACGAACCAACCAATAACCTATCGACCCATAATTATGCAGACGAAAATGGAGGTGGATTAAACATACACTGAGGAATAATAGCAGTAGTAGCAGCTTTACTCTGGAAATTATCTTTAAACAAAATACAAAATTCTTAGCGTAATTTCTTGCAAAATATTTGCTTCCTGTGCAGAAGCTTCAAGTATTGATCGACAGTATATCGTATGACGCAATATCATTCTGTCTGACATAAGACTTAATACTCTATCACTTTTTTCCTTCACTTGATTGAAGTGGTAGGCGATGGGAAGCCAATTAAAAATCTGCACGAGTTCATATTATGATGCAAAGTCACATTTGGAAGATTAAAACAACAAGAAATGGAGAAAAGTAGATGCATTATACTGGATGGAAATTTAGGCAATCCATTGATGTGAACACGCCATCAGAATAAATAAACTTCCATTAAAACTGTTTCAGCTCTTATTCGCTGTTTTACTGCATTTTAACCCTTGAATGGGTTCCTCATTGTGAGCGTGATGTTGAAGCGAAAAAGAAATGTCCAACTTATTATTGAGGTCACGGTAAAAACTAATCGCTGGAGACAATTGGTGATATGGCTTAAAATTGTTCTCAGTAGCGCAGATTCGTCCACTCCTTGTGACTTATAATACCCAATAAAACTATATTGTTCTTCGATATTACTATTATTTTTGCCTCATATCTCTGTTTACTGTCTCAGTTTTGCATTTCCTTTTTACTTTCTTCTCTTGTTTTGTGTGCTACATGGAGTGTGGCAACTCGAACTGCTGCACATCGGTGCAAAGTTCTATGCTGAAACCAGTCAGTCAATCAGTAGTGAGGTCACGACAGTATGTGAACGCTAACAAAATAAAGACCAACAGTTCGATGGTGTCATTTAGTTTAGAAAAAAAAATGAAAATCACTTAGTTATTATTAAAAATAAGTGTTCGATGAATGCAACTTTATGTGTTGTCTAACTTTTTGCCTTAACCACTGAAAATCGAATGAATTATATATGTATTAACAAATGGGTTTTTAATGTTTACATAATAGACTTCTCTAGCCAGCTGGTCTTTGGAAAATCACAATAAGATGTCAGTTTACTTTTAATATTATTATTACTATTTGCCCCTTGAGTTCCGAATGAAACATTGGGTTTCTGTTCTATGCAATCACTTTCAGCTCCCACCACCACCCACAAGCTTTCACTTCCTCTTCATATGATTTTCTCCACGTGTCACTCGGACACCCAACCCGTCGCTTCCCATTCTTTTTCCACTCGAAAGTCTAGAGTGTGATGTCATTTGAAGGTATCTTCAGTGTAGCGTGTGTTCACTTCATCTCCATTTCCTTCCTCATGTTTGTTGAGCAGTAGATTTTTGATAGGTTCACTGACAGTTCCTTGTTCTTTTTTGTCGGTCATTTTAACTTTCAGTATCAAGAGAAAGCAAGTGTTGGTGAAATTTTGCAGTCTGTTAGAGTTATTTGCAGTCAGCAGCACGGGAATAGGAAGTTAATTGAATAAACATTTAGTGATCTACTGCAATCTCAAATAATGTTTAGTTCCAAATAATCAATAGAGATGAGTTTTTTGTACATATTCCGCTTAGAAAATATCCAACTGATTTCAAATTGTCATCTGTTATGGGTGAAGAGAATATTATTGCAATCTGTAGGATTCTGTGTCACTTGCTAGGAGATGATGATAAAATTTTCCGATAGAAGCAAATGAATGCATGGCTGACTTTGAAACAACTAGTCTGCTCAGGTGTACGTAAGAAAGCAGTAAAAAAATCGAGGCTTTAAGCACTGTTTTAATGTTGTGTCATACGAAATGAAAAATATGATATTATTAATTAAGATGAGTTATCCCAGTAGTTCATTTCGACAAAATTTCGATCGCTAACAGATACAGTTGAGGAAATCTTAGGGTAAATCGTGTGTTACGTCTATATGATAAAACACCGAAACAGGATCTATGAAGACAATGCCAAATCGAATATTAGCTTTCTTAAAGCCTATAGTGCTCTGACTGACTCAATTACAGTTACAATCGTCTTTACTGATGCTTATAATATTTTGTCTTTTGTATGTAATACAACACAATGAGTCTTTCTAGGGTGGCTTTTGTTGGTCGTAAGTAACACAGAAGTACTTTGATTGGACACTAGTAACTAGTGTGATGCGTCTAGTCCTTTCTTTGGTGCAGACTGAATTCTATCAGTCAGGTTTGCAATGTGGTCACCATTCTAGGTAGCTTGCCATCACGGTGCACATTGATTCGATGATATTGGATGTTTGGAGGCAATCGGCAGGAAGTCTTTTACCTAGGTTTCGTGCCAGTTGGCACTCGTCAGCAAGGCGTATCTGCAACCTTCAAGGAACTCATGTCGCAGTTTCAAATCTCAGAAGGGATATGAGTTCCTTGAAGGTTGCTGACACGCTTTGCTGGTGAGTGCCAACTAGCATGAAACCTAGGTCCAAGGCTTCCTGCTGATCGCCTCCAACCATCTAGTAACACAGAAGTACTCACAACAATTATGTGTAGGGTTTCTGAAGACACCTAGAAAGCTGGAAAGGGGTGGTAAGTGAATCGCAAAATGAATTGGCGTGTAGGCGTTTAGACAAATTCATGTATAAGATGTTTTGACTCCTCTACCGACATTGGTATGAGGAAGTAAAAACTATTCTTACAACGCGTTAGGGAATGACATATTGTTCAATGCTTTCGCACTTTCTTAAACACATTTGTATTAATTTTCCTTCTTTCCATAATAATTTTTTCAGTGTTAGTACTGCACTTACATCAGTACAGTTTGTTTCTCTGCTGTTTCGTTGGTGGCAACTAGCAGTGGAATTAAGGCTGCTCATCTCGTTTTCTTTTCTGACTAGTCTTCTGCAAGTACCTGCATTTCCAGTGAGTGCTGGTGTTCCTGCTGTAAGACTCGAACATCATCTATGGTTTCAAGGACGAAAGCATTATGCACTAGGCCACGACAGCCACTTTTTGTGCAACAGTTATCAGTAATTATTTGGCGTTTGAAATGAAGCGTGTAGGGTTCGAGTCTCAAGAAGAACACCACTGAGAGTGCAGCAGACGAGACCGTAAAAGACGAAGTGCACATCCTCATTTTCACTGTTAGTCATCACCAACCAAAACAGGATCACGGTAATCCTCAGACATTATCAAAACATCCCTACTAGGAGCCTGAATGTCAACAGAGACCGGGCGTTTCCGTCCAGTATAATCAATCAGCGGGAAATGCAAACCGACCTAACATCCAACGAGTAACAGTTTATCTCTGTCTGTCATTTTGTTTCTCATGCTTTTTCCACTAATTGTGTGATGTGTCCATGTAGTACTTAGGTAAAGAGGTGATAACGAAAGATAGCTCCGATTGTTATGCACGTCGGGTGAGCTAACAGCATTAAAATGATACCGGTTATAAGTGATTATTTCATTCATCCTCCTGGTAACTTGTAATAATTCAAATAACAATGCATGCAATGAAATACAGTACTTACGAGTCTTTGGCTTTTTCTCTATTCCATTTTATAGTTTGTAGAAACGGCCTTAGTTAAACTGTATGTTAGATTACAGCAGTCTGGTATCCAACCGTATTTGTATGAATTAATCATTGATCCAAAAACATCTTATGATAATTGTGACCAGTCAGCAATTGGGCTTTCTTCTGTAATTCAACAATCAAGTGATAATAATGATGGTCAAGGATTAGTTGATCTTATCTCAAGTCTGATACATATTGATGTAGAAGATTTAATTGTTTACCTGGAAAAGAACAATGCTTATCATGCTTTGGCGTTGATATATCACTGGCAGGGTAATCTTTTTGGTGCACTAGAAATATGGCGAAAGTGAGTTGCACGATTCTATTGTTTTACTCAATCATGGTTTTTTTCTTCTGAAAACACACTCATGTCTTGTTTTGGTTTGTATTTTGTTACATTTCATGAATTCCTTAATTTTTGCCTTCGTGGATACATATATATATATATATATATATATATATATATATATATACATATACTAATTGGTTCCCTTTCGTGATTGTCATTTACAGTATCAAACAGACCACATATACTGTGACGTAAATATTTTTTACTTCCAAGTAAACTGTGGTAATTTCTTTCCTCAAACTGTGTATTTACAAATGATGATTTTTATTCCATGTATTTATTATCAGTTTGTCCGAGTAGCTAACTATCCAAGATTTGTGTCTCTGAGCCGAGTCTAACTGGGTACACCTCTTGATGATGTCGGTGAGCGTAACGACTGTTCATTGTCTAGTTTGTTTCGATCTAGCTAGTAAGCTCTACTATCGGCTGACATGAGTGATTGATCGCCAACTGCTTATATCAGTCAATCAGTAGTATGTTGTATCACGCTGTAGATAATTGCTTTTATTCATTTGCTTTCTTAGTGGATCTCCTTTTTATGCATTGACTGATGTGTGTATTACCTATCTGAATCGATACTTAGTTTTACCGTGTTGTATATTTAAACCGTACTCTTCATGCATTCATGAATTAGTTCATAAATCATAGTGGGTATACCCTAAATCTTAATCACACTTGAAAAATGTTAAGATGGCCATTGATTTAACTTTTCTCATTTATCGAAGGAGTGGTATTTTGACTTTTGTCTGACGGGAATTTTTAATAACTTCTTTATTTTTTTTTCAATTTTAGATTAGTGTATAATGAACTTAGTGATCCAGGTTTCCCGGGAGTACCATTTTATGTACTAATTTTATCACAGTAAGCATAAGTTGTTTGTTATTATTTGTTTAAATGCTGGCTGTTTTTAATTATTACATTGTATAGATAGGTTACCATGCTGTGCAATATAATGACTGGTGTTTTCATGAAGAGAATATTGCGTTTACTTTATGAGAGAAATTATGACTAATCGAATTAGGCTGTCACTTCCCAACCAACCAATCACAGATTTTAACTGTAATGTAGCTGCTGAATTTTAAGCAGCTGGACATTATCATTCTAGACATTCTGCAATAATTGGCATACACTCATTACTTAGTGTTTAAACCTTCAGTTCAGTAGTATTTTAAGCCTTCAGATGTGAATGTGGCTCATAGACTAGTATGTAAAGAATACTGCTTCTGATGATTTTTGTCTCATTCTTATAATCTATGTCATTGTTTTAGTTTTAAGGTTAGAGGCTTTAACAGCCTGTTAGACTGACACTTATAAATTAACGGGTGATGATTGATGGCGCAATGAAAATCTGGGCTACCACCACCCAACCCAACCCAAGGCTATGTCAAATTGTCTCATCATCAGTTCAAAAAATACCTAGAAATGTGCTATGGAGAACGTATTGTCCGATAGCTGTCACATGGAATCGTTCATCATATGACTCACTATCAAGTCATTTTACATTTAGTGAGAATTGTGAAGATATGGCTACTCAATTCACAGATTATCCGCTGATAGAAATGTCCTTTATTATGAATACAGCTCATTGTTTAGTTATTGAAAGAAGTATGTATATGCAAGTTTTTAGTTTTATCTCTCTCTTGATATTATTATTAGTAATATGTATGTGAATATTAACACTGCATAATAAATTATTTGTAGCATAATATGGTCAGTAATACTGAAGTTAGGTGTAATGTCAGCCAATAAGTGAAATCAGATCGGTGAAGCTGTTTCAGCCGAGATGACCTGAACATGTATCACGCATGCTGAGATATCGCCTTCCTCATCGATCACTGTTAAATGATACAGTATGATAGGGCTCAAAGTGGATTTCAATGGGGCACACGCATTCAGTCTTTGTGATCTCTGAAATACACTAAATTGTCATCAGTCTTCACGTATTTCTTCCTTCTCTCGTACATTTCTGTTTATGGTAGTCTCCTAGCACTCTTTTTTCTCTCCTCTACTATGTGTGGTTTTATGAAGTGTGGCAACGTGAAATGCTGTATTTCTGTGAAAAGTTCTACGTTCATAATAATTCAGTCAGTTGGATTTCATCACGCTTATCTATTAAAGTACGATCGTTTTAAAGTGGTAAGAAGACAAGATAACACCATTAATATATAACAGAGGTTGGCGTGTTTGTGTTTTAGATATAATACTGACATTTTTATTAATTATTATTTTCTGTAGTATTTATCCTTATTGTGTTTGTGTATTGATAATCAATTCGTTATGAATAACAGCCTGCTCTTCTTTTTCTTACTTCATATATTGCGTTTATTCTTCAGTTTATCTGCGACTAATTCAACTGATTCCTCGAAACAAATGTTGCCCGGTGAAGTTTTGCACTCATCAAACGATGTGAATTACGAGTTTCCTGTGTATACTGAACTAGTGTGGAATCATTTTCTAGAAGCTTTAAATACAGGTCATGAAATGATAGCTGGAGAACTTATGATTCGTTTTCCAATCCCTGTTAATTATATTAATTCACGTTGTGTAATACCATTTGATCAGTTCAATAGTAATGTAAACGCTGTCGAAAATATGCTAGCACCATCACAAATTTTATCCCCTAATCATATTATCCAAAAACTTCTTTCTTCTCATCCAAATTTGGCGATTACTTATCTGAAACATTTATGCTGCTGCCTGCCTAACTGTGTAAGTCTTGTGTGTTTGCTCAAGTTACATCTTTTTTCTTTCCTTCACGTTCCCCAGTGGAACATAGGGCTTCAAGTTAGTGGCTTGAAGTTTCTGTAGCAGGGTTTTTTTACAGGATGGGGTTGCTAGCCTCATGCCCAACCTTTCCTCTTTACCAGAATTATTTCTGGCTCAGCGAGGTAAAGGAGTGCGTCGGCCGGGGATCGAACCCCGGACCATGTGCATGGTCGGCGAGCGTCCTAACTGCTATACCACCGACGCTCAAGTTACATAAAACGTCTGAAATGGCACTGTAAATTCTCCATAGTTCAACTTTTATGTAAGAAACATCTACTAATTAGTGATTGGTTGAAAGCTATTATAAATAGGTTGTATACCTCAATTTTAACGAGTTGCATCCGCAATCCACAGGAGATTGACATTTGTAAGAAGGATTCTAACTCACTACACTTTATGAGACTGCTAGCCGGTGCAGTGTTTATATTTCAGTGAAGATTGTGTTAAAGTGCAAAATCCTTGGATCGGTTACCAATCAGGGATTTGTTAGGAACAAGGATGTAACTTGAGCATCTACGTGGTTTCGTGTGGCTTCATGTTATAATTCAAGACAGTGCTTGGAACGTTTTGAGTCTGTGATTTCCGTTTATCTATTTGTATTCCTTTTACTAGTCACTGAGTGATCTTACTGATTATAAACTCAATGTATATATTGTTGTTAGCCTACACTTTTAAATAGTTTCCTGAAAATAATATTGTAATTTCCTCTTATAACTAATCTAAAGAACGTATTTCTAATTTTTCTGTCTATCTTAAATAAGGACAAAACAATCACATGAATCTCGCTTTCTAGTTATCCAGATCAATTTTACTAAGCATATACATAGTTGTGAAATATATGAAGGTCGCGTATTAGCTAAGGTATTTACTACTGTTAATATTATAAAAATAGTGTCGGGTGATAGGACAAATACTCGCCGATGACATCGGCTAGTGGTCGCGCCACAGCGTGAATTGGCTGAAGCTGGAATTCATTGGTCATTGGATTACATCCTAGTGACTAAGTGCTCTACGAGCTTGCCTTGCAACCGAAAGGTCCTTGCTTCGAGCCCCGGTGGGTGCGTACTTATGAAGAGTCTCAAACTAGGACGAAACAGCTATCCAGTACTCCCAGGTTTTCCAATGGTTCTCTAACCGATGTCAGCTCCAATGATCGACTAAACATCATTTGAAGTAATATTGTTTCATCCGAAACATGCTTCAATACTTCTCAATGTTCCCCCTCACCTACCCACCCACCCAACATTTTCTTCAAGAGAATTCATAGCAGTAGGTTTGAACTTATTTAAAAATGTGCGTGAGTGTAGATTGTGATTCATAAACGTAATTAACTGATTAAAGCAATATGAAATGCAGTAAATGGGACGCATTTTATTGGATGGGACAGTTAGTTAGCCCACTGATTCGAGCAAACTGCCGTTTTTAATGTAGTTACCTTAGAGCCTGTTTTGCAACATATGTCATTCTAAATTAACAGAAGTCACTTTTAGAATATTTTCAGTTAGAGATCACATACCATCACATCTGCATTCCTGATCTATATGAGGTGGCTCTCATGGTCCAAATGGTCTCGTGGGAGAACGCTTTGGTGTTTGTAGTGAAGGGTACTGGGTTTGAATGTCAGTGGAAACACTGTCACTCAGTGATGATTGCAGGTACATCCGGCTAACAAGTCCCAAACAGAATGGAATTCTCATCCTGGGTTCCACTGATAGTCACCATCCACCAAACAACATCAGGAATTGGATTACACTTAAAGCACATGATAATAAAGTGGTGCTTTAGTTATGATAAGCTAAAAGTGAGAGGCCTGTTAGTCCTCTTGGAGAATTCATAAAGGGGGTTTTAAAAATTAAAGTAATAATTAGTTTAAGAATCCTCTTTAAGTCATATGGAAGAAGACGTGTTCAGCAAAGAGTTACTATTTTCACCGATATCATCGTCAAGCTGTGCAATGGCGTGCATATATATATGTATATGTATATATATATGGTACATCTTTTTATGAACAAAAGCAATGTTTCCAATAATGTGTTATTAAAATGTTTGCGTTTTAGATGACAATCAAGAGATTCTAAATTACACAATAAGGGTAGGGACTAGTAAAATTTGCAGTAAACTGAATAGCGTAATAGAGTTGATAGGATTGAATACAGTTCAACTAAAGTTGAAAGAAGGTTAAGACAAGATCAATTCCCTAAGGCTTAGAAGTATAATTTTGAGGAATTGTACGTCAAATGCTGAGATAAATGAGGTTAATTGTCAGTCCAGTGACTGGACAAACTTCTCCTATATAACATGTAGCTTACCATAGGTTCTGTGGTTTGCGAAAGTTTGATTCGTACTCTTTTAGTAAGATTTCCGCGCACTCTGTAAATGACTCTGAAATTGCTTTGGTTAGCAGAATCGGAAACGTTTTTTTTTCAGAAGCGAGTTGTAAGGCAATCTTTTTTCTCCTCTGCAAAGTTATAAACCCTATAACCTCAACTTGAACTGCTGATGTGTACACAACAACTCAAGTTATGTATCAGCTACTCTCATCTGTCTCTCCTGAATGGTGTCTCTTTTTTATTCATTTGTTTCTAAAAAGTCTATCATATTATATTTGAATTTCTGTTTCAGCATCCGGAAAATCACAATTTGTTAGCCAAACTCTATTTAGATGCTCTGTTTATTAAACTGAAGTCTACGGATGTTTTATCTGATCAAACTGATAGACAGATTCGTGAATTAAGGTAATTTTCATTCTAATCAGTTTTTTCCTTCAATGTCTCTGAAAGTTTTTCAAATAGGTAATAATAAATATGAAAAGAGAGCGAATTTATTAAATTTCTATATAACATTACAGGTAAATAAACTATATGTGAAGGTGGAGTGCTCTCTTGCTATGCGGGAGTTCTGGTTTCCATTTCTTGCCTACATACTCTGAAACCAAACCCAGTTTGCGAGCTAGTAGTTAGCCCAGAAAAGAAGGAAGGTCGGGAGTAGGGGTAGTAGACCAATCCCGTGATAAAATAACAACGCTGCTGTTACCCCGAGGCTTCAGTGCTTCAGTGCCCCATGTTCCAAGAAAGAAATGAAAAAAGGAAAAAAATATAGTAAAATCAACATAATCATATTAATGGAGAGTTCTATTATTTTTTAAAGTAAACGAAGACAGATAGTCAGCGTATTATTTCAGTCATAAAAAGTACTTTTATGGTAAATGGTAAGCGTCATCGATGTTTTCATTTTCTGGTTGTTGAATGAAATAAATTACTGAATGCTTGAACGTTGTTTATTTTATTATTAGCAACTTCGAAACCACACCTAGTTGACGTGTCTTACACTTAATTAGACAAAAATTTTAACCCAAACTGTCTTCTTATGGTTGTATATTAGAAATATCGTGCAATCAAATGTTTATATTCTAAAACATAAAAGACCCAAACGTAAATCTTTAGATGTAATCTGACTTGGAATTTCAATGTTTGTTCTGCAAACTGGTTACATGTCCTTACATTCTGACTGTAGTATTTTAAATGTTCTACTACTTTAATCATTTTCATTTGACTATTTGAACTACTGAACATTTGCGCTAAGTTATATATGAATAATTCAGTCAGTTTTTATTAGTGTCTGTAATAATATCTCAACTCTTCTCCTTTGAGTTATTTGAATATTTAGTCCTCCGTGTTTATTATCTGCATTATTCTACCTTTCTTTTTATTGGACACAGAAAAAAACTTTGATGCAGAATAACATGCATCCATTTTATTTCATCAGTTCTCATCATCTGCGTACAGCTTATGGCATTTAATAAAATAAATTATAATACAATTTTAATACATTTTCTTTATCAACAGGAGTCAGCCGTCCACGACGGATTGTTGTAAAAACTTTATGGGGAAACAAAACATAAGGATGATAAGCCTATATTAAAGTATTAGCATATATATAATAAGACTGGAGTTTCTCGTGAAAAATGGATACATTTGTTGTTAGAGTGTTGACAAGGCAGTAATAATTGAATGACCAGAGATAAAATACAGTAATCAGAACCCATAAGATTGAAAAATAAAAATTTTATGTGTACAAAGTCGGATAAAACGATGATGATGATGCATTACAGTTAGGTGAATTCATAGGGACAAAAATTAAATCTAATACGAACGTCAAGCGAAAAATAAGGGGGAAAAGTGATGAAATCAAAAGACAAACAGTTAAAAGACAAAACGGGAGCTATGTCAATAAAACGGCTGAGACCTAAACTATACATTCGAAAGTAACCCTTCATTGGACTTCATTATCCTGGTAACTCTTAGCTTAGTAACTCCTTACTGCTCAAGTAAAAGCTAAAGTATTGACTGCTCACTGTTTATACTTGAATCAAGGAAATCAGTCTCCTTTAGTTAATTTTCTCTTTTTTTTCTACCTGTTTGATTATGACAAAATGACTCCTTGTCATATTTTCATTATATATTAAGCATTTTTCGAGTTGGTTTTAATGAGTCCACCGAAGCGTCGTAATGCATTACATGTAGTAAATGTGTTTTCAATAGCCTATCATATTTTATGTCTGTAAAAATTATGTCTATTCACATGTGCACTTAACTAGGACAGGATGCCTCTGATGTGATCATAGATACATATGATATGGTAGAGTTCGTCATTGATTTCATTTATTTGTGCTACTTATTTAGTCCTGGCTTTCTGAGTGGAACATAGGGTTTCAGGGTGCAGTAGTGGTGGTGTTGTCTTCACAGAATGGGGTTGTTAGCCTCATGCCTAACCTTCTACTGGCAAGTAAAGTAGACAGGGTTTAGGAGTGCGTCACTTGTTCATTGAGAAGTCATTGCCTACTATCGTTTGCCTGTGTCCTTCACAAAAGTTGTCCATAGTTTTTTGGATCGAACAAACTATGTTTATCCTAAGATGCCTACACACATAACTTTTGAAAAATGATGAAATACACTTTCAAGTTATGAATAAAAAAACATAACTTAATATCACCATGCTGCAATGATTTCATCGAATTGTGACAAAGTGAATCAATTACTGATGGATAGCCTTGTTCTCGCAAGTGAATTTCTTGAGCTTATGAGATGTGATGAAGATAAAGAAGAAGAATATGAATTAGTTATATAGTAGTATAAAAGAGTAAATGTAGTTTAGAGTTGAGGTTTATCATATAATAAGTAGATTTCATATTTTCTTTTTTATCATGATGTCTCGGAAACCAATGTATGTAAAATATGTGATATGCATTACTGCCTTGTCTGAGTATATGGACTTTTTTTCATGTTGATTAGCCGGTTCTGAGAGACTGTTTTGGTTGCTTGCACAGTATTCTATCTCCAGTTTGTTTATATTGAAAAATTTGTCTCAGTGAAGTAGTTCAAACTATCTCATTGCTAGCCTGTTATTTAAAGAAAGTTGCATAGAATCGGAATAAGTACTCGTAAACTCTTTAGGTATTCATCCCAATAACACAAATAAGCCAAACTGTCATAATTAAATTACCTGGAAACCATGACGGCAAAAAATGTTCTTGAAAATATCTCAGATAGTAGATTGCTATTATACCTTCAATCGTTATCTATTGAATCACAGAAGTGTTTATTGACTTAATTTTATTGACTCAATTTCATACACAACTGGTACATGCATTGCCGCCTACTTCCCCAAGAGACTGTTTTTCTCTACCTTTTCTGAACTATAGAATTGAGTTTTGTCAATTGATACGCTACTCACTGTTGATTTCACATGAAATCTTATTGAATCGTTTGCTTAACGAAAGTCTCTCAGTGCAAAAGAAGCTGGCATATGAATTAGCAATACTTGAAGGAAAGGTAAGTTAACTGTTATTTTTTCTTACTTCCTTTCTTTGTTTGAAAAAATCGGCCATATTTATATTGCTCACCATAATTAGATCCTTTTGTTTGTCATATTGATTATTCATGAATAATCCCCATTCAGACATTAATGAAAACAAAACAAGTAGTTCACCGAAGAGTCTCTTTTTGGCGATGCATTTTGCTTTCATATTGGTTATTTTCAAATAGCAAGTTTTTGTTATTCGAATTCAGCATGGAACTTAGTAATTCCAACTTTTGAATTTTCACTGTTGCTGGTGGAGATTAGCTAGCCTCACACAGAACCTTCTCAGTCTTCCGGGCTTAATATCGGCTAACACTAGGTCCAAGAATACGTCGATCCAAAATTGAACCTGGACCATGTGAATGACTGGCAAACATTCTACCATTCGACCACTGACTAGCTCAAATAGATCTCGCACTCCGTTTGGATTACTATGATACCATCACAGTGTATTCAGAGCGACGAAACTCTGAAATAGATATTGTAAACAAAATGAACTATAGAAACTATCACTTAAGGGGATAATTGTCCGTTTTATCTTTATCTGCGTTACGATATACCAGTTACTCAACGAAATTCATATAAATATAAATCTGAGGTGGGTAAATTATAAAAGAAAGTAATAGAAAATACTTTGATGGCTTCTACGCAATATATAGTAGGTGCAGAGACGTAGGATCTGTTCAAAATTTTATTTTTCATTACTTGCTTGTTGTATGAAGTTTCCTTAAATTATTTTTAATCTATGGCTCACTAGTCTATTGTGAATGTAGTATGTTTTCATATCTACGAATTCTCTGATAGGTGATCTGCAATATACTTTTCAAATTTTTCTCAAATAAGTGAAATCTAATCGAGTTTCAAGTTTTACTTTTTCTCTTTTCATTTTTATTTCATCGCATATCGTAATTAACCAAATTCTATTTCGTTAGTATCTTAATTATTCTAAAGTGTTGTTACGAATTTATCAACAAGATATTAGTCAATATGAAGCCTTGATTTTCAGTGAATTGTGCAGTAGAAAACGTCGTACTTCGAGATGAATAACAAAGGCATTTCTCATTTGCACCTTTTGGTGTTAACGAATATTTTAAACCAACATGCATCTATGGCTGCGAGGGAACTACTTGCTGTTTTGAGTTTGGAGTCCAAAACGGCAGTTTGGTTGGCTCTTATGCTTATTATACTTCAACAAAGTGCTGGATGATGTGTGTTATAACTGGGCTGAACTGAATAGACCTGTCGCTACTTTTTATGTCTGCTCCTGTGTGCGTCGGTGGCACAGCGGTTAGGACTCTCGCCGACCATGCACATGGTCCGGGTTTCCATCCCCTGCCGACGCACACCCGATATCAATGGTCGGCCAGCGAAATTTGGGCTACCGGTATCACATGCTGAAAATTCCATATTTGTACCAAAAATACCGTGTGGAATCAAGCTGTAATCAAAATAAAAAATTACTATAACGGTAATGAACTCGACTGGTGCTCTAATACGTCTATTTGTCCGTTGTACCTTCCGATTCACTGAGCCACGTAAACATCAAAAGACAAAGGCTGGCCTTATAACTGTAAGATACTGTATTATACATCTATTAGGAAAAAAAAGATATTTATATTTTTAATTTCTCACAATACAGTTGGCTCACAACCGTAGGAATGTACTGTTCTTGATGGTTGGAAATTTCTATTCTGATTGTTTAGTGATCCGACAAAGACCAAGGCGAGACAAAAGACGATGAATTGATCACACACTAAATCGCAGTATGCGTGAAAAATGATAGATCCACTTAGTAACTCCATGACAAGATAAATCACACATTTCGTAAGAAAGGATGATATGCTATTTTATGCTCGCTACTATCAATGTGACCCGTTGTCTGAAAGCTAACGCGTCCGACTCCACCTGCTTCAGTCTGGGTAACTGGGTAGTATCATCAGCCCTCACCTAAAATAGGTGTCGATCTTATCCTGGTACGTGAAAGATTCGTTCCAGCTAACTGAATTAAGACAGTTGATATGCACTTTGAGTAAGGATGGGATATTAATATGAGACTGTTTTAGAAAGATTTTGAATGTGCTTTTTGAATTCAACAGGTGAACCGAAATCTAGGTTTTAAACCATTGATTATTTTCAATTATCATTCCTTCTTTTCTTTATGCACTTATCTGATAATTTTTCACATATTAAAAAAAAATATTTTTCTTCTCTATGCTAGGTTTATAATCATACCAAAGCACTGAAATATCTTATCAATGATATGAATGATTATAAAGCTGCCTTGTACTACTGTCTTACGTTCAGTCAACAACCTGTACAGCATAAAATAGGTGATGTTGATGCTATTGCTTCTGCAATGGTCCATGGCTCTACAGCTGAAAGGTGGTCACCTGCTATCATCCAGCTGGAAGAAAATTATGATAATCAATCAATGCCTTCTATGTTATTCACAAGTTTTATTGACATCTGTTTTGATAAGTAAGATTATTGATTGTTTTTGCATGCATCTTTTTTCTAAACCTGATAATTTTTACCAGTGCAAATTGATTGGTTATACTGGATCGAAACTCTTGGTCTCTGTCAGCATGTCAGCTCCTACTATGGACACTCTGACGACGTCTCATGATGGTATTTGGTTTATGGTACCTAGCTGTGGAATTCAGAACACACACTTCTTCCTATTTGGGATCAGTCCGTATCTGCAAGCCCAGTAAGTGGTACATGACTCCATCACTGATCGTTGCAAATGCCAAAGCGTTATCCACCAGACCACTGGGAAATGAGAAACAGTTGACGCGTGCAAGATAAGACGAAATGCGTATCCTGCGTTCCAGTGATAGTCACTACCGATCGGGAAACAAATGTATTGGAAAAAAGATTTGTCTATCATCCTATATATTATCATTCATGTTTGTAATGCCCACTAGTGTTATATCAGTATGATATTACGAATAAGAATTGTGTGAATAAATGTTATCCACAGCTATATCTAATCAGTCAGTTAAGCTAGGAAAGTTTACTAATTATTCTCAAATGTCTTTTGACTGTACTCATCATGAAATGAAGGTTGTTTCACATATGTGTTTATCATTATGTACTGATATATATCTTTACACAATAGGGTTCTTATTTGATGACATTGCCGTAAAGCAATTAAATTTTACCATTTAAATATTGTTAGGTTATATTTTTGATTGGACACAAGTCAGCAACCAGTTTAAATTGTCTAGTCTTATCTTTGGTGCAGACTGAATTCTATCAGTGAAGTTTGCAATGTGGCCACCATTCTGGGTGGCTCGCCATTACGGCGAACTATGAATTGTTGGTATTAGATGAGTTGGAGGCAATCGCCAGGAAATCTTGGACCTAGGTTTCGTGCTGGTTGGCACTCATCAGCAAGGTGCATCTGCAACCTCGAAGGAACTCGTGTCCCTTCTGAGATTCGAACTGATAGAATTCAGTTTGCACCAAAGATAGGACTTGACGTACATATTACACTAGTTACTGACTAGTGTTCAATCAAAAATATCCACTACAGTCCTACAGTAGGTCAAGCGCGAGCCTGAATAGCTCAGCGCTAACGTCTGTGACTGCATCACTGGGTGACGCGGGTTTGAATTTCAGAAGGGACATGAGTTCCTTCAAGGCTACAGATACGCCTTGCTGATGAGTGCCAACTAGCACGAAACCTAGGTCTAGGACTTCCTACCGATTGCCTCCAACGATCTAATACCAACAATTGTTATATTATGCATAACTGAAATCAGTATCGAATTATGAAGTCTATGCACACATTTGTCATTTTAATTTTTTTCATTAAAATCATTGTTTTTTATTAGACAATAGGGGATCAAAGTTGAGGAATAACAAAAAATTAGATTTACTCAAGATTATATATTCCTTGGTTTCCCAGTCGAATACAGGACTTCAGAAGTACATCTGTATCCTTTTTCATTCTCTGCAACCTTTTTAAGCTGACCTATGATTGCCCACAAGCTTGCATTTACTCTTCACAATATCTGCTCGATGTTACCCTTGGAGGCTCAACATGTCACTGCCCATTCACTTGTGAATGTCATGGTGAGTGTTTGACCTCACAACAGACTAGGTGAACTTCACTGTTCACATCTTTTCACTAGAACTTCAGACAACTTCATCTATTAGTCAGTCACTAGTGAGCATTAAATTTGCGAAGAGTGCTTGCTGGAGACATCTGAAACTATTGTTATTTTACATTTTGAAAACATATTCATAGACATGACTTTTTATCACTGATTTTGTAGCGTTTAGTCTCTAACACGAGAATTCTGTACGCAACTTAAAGCTTTCGAACGACACTTTTACGGTAGATAAAATGTGGTACCCTTGGAAATATTGGGCAGAAACTCTGTTAACGTTCACTATGCACTTCTGACCTCTTAGGCGCTCTTACCTGGGATTTCCACTAGCACGATTGATAGTCATATGTTTAGTAAGTGGGTGGGTTTAGGTTGAATAGGTAATGTCCACAAGGTGCTACAAATCGACCAGTGATACAGTTCGGATTGTTCGCACTCGTTCAGATGTATTCATCTTCAAAACAACATTTGCTTTGTTTATTTCTTCTATTCAATCACATTCGTATTTGATCATTGTGGTATACTTTTTGAAAATGTGATAACTGGAACTGACTTACTTTCGTAAACTATTTACTGTTGATCTGAACATCGAATGCTTAAAGTAAAAATAGTCTTTTATTATTCTAGAATAAATCAGAAATTGTAGTGATACTATTGGAATGTCCCTTACATGTGATGATGAACAGTTTTCCAAACTCTTAGACTATAATAGCTTGCATAAATCTGAAAGGAGTGTATACTTATTGTTGTTCCCCCTATTATGTCTTATTGAATAATGTATTATTCTTTTCGTACGATTTTATCATCTTTTCAAACATATTATCCCTCTACTCAACCATTATTATTTTTATCAACGAGACTGAAAAGTTGTAAATTTAGTTTTTCTACACCTTAAACTAGCTTGACAGTGAATGTTAGCCCTTACATTTAGTTAGTATATACTGTACAAATATGCGTTGCATTTCAGTCAATGAAGAATTGAACTTTCAACCGGTGATTGATGGGTGTGAACATTGCCATCTCCCTCTACTTGATGAGTTTTTCTCATTCATATAGTCAGTATGTCTTAAAAACTGCATGGATTATACCAATAAACAGGTGTATGTGTGTATGTTTATACCGCTTGGGTTTATCGCTACTTTTTGTAGAATGCACGTCATTGCTACTAGTGGATATATAAACAATCGTCAAAACAGGTTTACCTCCTTTTCGTTGTCGCCTCCTTCATATAGTAAGTAGAACGAAGGGATAGTTGGTATTGAACAGTTTCATGGGATTTTGTATTACGCGTTTAAAGGAATACTGTAATCACTTAAAATGTCACGTCTGGTTGTTTTTGACCAATTTATGAGGCTATAATATGTTTTGAACGTGTTTTGTCGTTGTTTTTTTACACAACTGGAAAATCTGCTTCGCTTGTGATTACTTTCATCTTCACATCCTGTTTCGCTCTCATTTGACTAAGATTCCACTCGGAAGAGGTAATTAAATATGACCAACATTTTCCCTTTTTTGTTCTCTACCTTTGTTCAAAAAAATATTTTAAACGTCTTTATTTTATTTTTTTTTTCCTTTGTTTCATACAGACTTGATGCTGATTTAAATGATTCCTGTGCTATCAAAGGTATAATTTTAAGCCTGTTGAATAATTCCAAAGTGAAATTCAACTTCACCAAGGTTAGGAATTTTTTTTCTTTCCTTCTTCTGCATTTTCTCCTTTTCGTACACGCTGAATTCGTCGCATGTGTTTATACATCAGATTACACTTGTGTTTCCTTAAGGAAAGTTATGCTTTGATATAGAAGACTTCAGACTGAAGGATTAAATGTATTCTTTTTTCAGTTTTGTTCATCATCCATGGTTTTACACTAAATTTGTGAAAGTTTTTTAAAAAAACACGTCAAAATTATACCAGTCATGTTATGATTTGTTAGTCAGTAAGAATTATCCATTGTGAGATGTGTTTGAACTCAGCCACCTGCAGAAAGTGTCTCATGTACGCGTCAAAGGACCACAATTATTGTGAGGGTTGATAATACTACCTAGTTCGTTAGGTTGAGGTAGGTGGAGGGGCAGTTGAAGTTAGAGTCCACAGGCTGAAAGTCGAGAGCATAATCCAATGAGCAACTTTTCGACAATTGCAAAGTTTATGCTGGGTGAAAATAACTAATCATGAAAATCAAAACCAGTTATTCAGTAGAGGTTAGCAACAGGTCATTACGGAAGCAATAATTTTTGAGACAAAGATAGTTAAGAAGATAGAATAGATGAGTGAATTGGTTGGTAAGGATACCAAGATCAATTAAATGACCTGAAATTATAGTCATAATAAAATAACAAAGTCAAATGAAACAAGTCGATCAGTAAGCAGCTTAAGTGGATTAGGGTCATATTCTCTAGGTATATCGCTGATATCTATGAAAACTCTCCATAAGTTCTTACACGGTTTCGTGGGCTTCGCTAGAGTGCCTTCATTAGTGTGATGTACCTTCTAGCCACTCTTGTACCGTAATAAAAAACTGTGGTAATAATTGGCATCTAAACCAAACTTTATTCAAGTAAATAATATATACTTTGTTGTTGGTTTCGTACATAGATAACTGAGAGTACAGTGTGGAGATTGATTCATCTGTTCACTTTATATGAGATTTCATGGTTTAATGTGAATTTTTAAGGGATCAAGATTCTTATATATGACAAGAATAAGTAGGTAAATTTGACAAATGATACTAGTCAGTTGTACTGTTGATGAGTAAGGGTGTAACATCAGTGAGGTGTTTCTTTCGAACTCTCAGTAAACCTACTATGCTGCTTCCACGCTCTGAAGAAGAGGGTTAAAAAAGGTAGGCCCGAAAAGTCGCACATCGCGACTCGCCATCCGTAGGTGGCGGTATGGTCTTCATACGGACTCAATAAGGGTGAATACAATGCCATATCACACAATATCAATAAATGAACTCAGACTTGTTATTCATTCCTTGCATTCCGAGTGAAATATATGGGGTCGTGCTTCGAAGTTTCATTAGTGGTGGGTTTGTTAACCTTATAGCCAACTTCGTCTCTTTTCTGGGTCTACTATTGTCCAGTAAATTAAGGGAGGTTCAGGAGTGTGGCTAGTCAGTATTCTACTCCTGAAACAGTGAAGCAGATTTGGGCTTAATCAAATTTAAACTATAACTTGAAGTCTGTTTGCTTTAAAACAGTTATCTTGTGTGTTGTTGTAGTTTTATTTCCTGTTTCATCGAATATCAATGTGTAATAATAGTTTTCAAACAAGTCGTTTTTCAAAAATAATAACAATTATCAAGATTTTGATTACTCTGTAATCTTGAAAAATGTTTTTTAACCAATTTTTCTAGGTGCTATCTCGTGTGCCATCTGGTTGGAATCTTTTGGAAATAGGATTTTTTCTACAAAAGGCTTTACGATGTACACTACGTCAGTGGTCAGAACTTCATCTTGAGTATGCTTTAACTAAGTGCAATACTAAGCCAGCTGCTCTTGACCTTCCTAAAGCTTCTGAGTCATTAGTGATTCAAGAAAACACTGCCTGTTCAAAGTGTCATCAACTGATTAATGTTAACGTTCCATCTTATAATTTCGCTTGGCTTGTCTCAGAAAATAAAGTTGCTCACATTACATGTTTGTCCATGTCTTTAGTTGAATAATCATTTTAATATTAATGCTTTTGATTTTTGAGATTCATGTAATGACTCTTTAACTGTTGGCTTTCTTATGTTCTATTGTGCTAACAATTGTGTGATGTGCGTCATCTGTTGGCTTCAGTGGCCCGCAAGTTTGATTCTGACTCCTTTTATTTCAGTCTCGATAGTCCTCCTTACGCCAAATGCGCCTCATGGTCGTTTGGCACATGAAAATCCTGGCTAATTAACAATTGTGATAACTAAAATTGGTGCATTTTACTCTTGGTGCCCATAATCTAATCTTGAAGTCATGATATATATATATATATATATATATATATATATATATATATATATATATGAAATCTTTGTCACTTCAAATAATAATTTTTGGTGTATCTATCATTCTTACGATCACTTAGTGTGGTCATTATTTGTTTAACTATTTTAATTTGAAATAACTTTCGCAAAATGTAAATTCGTTTTTTGAATAAAACATAAAATCTTTTCTCATATGTTGAATCAGTGACTATGCTTACAGGACTAGGTTGGCTCAGATTGAACACACTTATCGCGCTGTCGTGTGTTTAACTGTGCTACTGGTAGTTTTCTAACAGTACTTGTTATCTGGGTCTGAAGTTTATTACAACCCTCCAGTTATTCGTTTTTAAGTTGATTTGCATTTTTTGTTGATTGATTGGGCCGAAATGTTCGACATGTCGGCTCCTGGTGCGGATGCTTCGATGATATCCAAGGATTAACTTGTAGTAATTTGGTGGATGGCGACTAGTAAAGGAATCCAGCATGCATATTTTCTCCTATATAAGACTCGTCCTCTGGATGTACCCGCATTCTCCAGTCAGTGACGGTGTTCCCATTGAGGCTCGCTTTGTATATACTTAAATCCACATAATTATTATTTAATTCAGCACAGTAACGAGGAGGGATTAGAAGGGATAATTGTTTTCAACTTGATATGAAAATTTTCTGGTGTGATGAAAGAGGTATAGAAACCTAAGTAACACTGGATTTGAAAAAAGTTGCATACTACGTAAAATAGTTTTTAAAGAACGCAGGTATCAACATATTGTACACAAAAACAAACTGAAATAGTGCTTTTGTGCCTGAAACTGAAAAAGTATAGCTAGAATGAAAAAAATGCAACTAAGGCACCAAACGAGACTAGATCCATGGTATATGTAATGGTTGAACTAGCTTATTTGGAGCATACAGGTCCGGCTTAGTTTAAATGAACAGGGTTTCCGCAGTACAGAGAAGTTTAGAACACACTGTCTTTGGTAGATTTCTGTTTCGTTTGCGAGTGACTTTGAATGATGAATCTATTGAGATGTTGTGACAGGTGTTGATGAGGTGTTCAGTTATTGCGCTTCTGACTGAACCAGTGCCAATTCTTTGCAGTCATACTTGGTAGTGTTCTCTAAGTTGCTTTGAAACGAAGCTTCTGGAGCAATCTATGTATATAGATTGCGACTGTACATCTTCTGAGAATGAAATATATCCTTTCAATGGTTTACACACACCAATAAGTTTTGTTATTGGTAAATTTGCTCGAAATATTACCAGTAAAAAAACTTATCATGGTGTGTTATTATTATTATTATCATTTCCTTTAATTCCTAGGGGCTTCAGCCGCGCGTCTCCATTGCGTTCGGTTCTTTGCTAGAGTCTTCACCTGGCTCCAAGTCTGCCCACATACTTTCATCTCCTCTTCACATGACCTTCTCCAAGTCACCCTTGTACGATCAACTCGCCACTTCCCTTTCGGATTCCACTCGAGGCCTAGTCTAGTGATGTCACTTGATGGTTTCCTCAGAGTATGGCCAATCCATCTCCATTTCTTCCTGCCTATTTGTTTCACAATCGGTTACTGTTGGTTTGCTCCCACAGGTCCCTACTGCTGACCTTTTCTGGCCATCTGACCTTGAGTATTGAGCGAAGACAACTGTTAATGAAGGTCTGTAGTTTGTTTGAGATGCTTTTTATGACGCGCTGGCCAAGTCTCTGATCCGTATAGTAGCACTGACTTCACATTGGAGTTGAAAATCCGGATCTTATTTTTGATGCTGAGTGTTGTTTACCTCCACACAGACTTGAGAGCAGTGAAAGCTTGTCTTGCTTTTCCGATTCTTGCTTTGATATCCTCATCAGTTCCGCCTGTAGTTCAAGCTATGCTTCCCAGGTAGGTAAAGGAGGTTATTTGTTTCAGGTCCCTCCCATTTATGCAGATTGTTATCTGTTGTTGTTGTTGCTGTTGATGGTGTTGCCCAGGAATCTTCATCACCTGTTTTCTCTACGTTCACCTGGAGTCCTATCTTCTCTGGATGCTTCTTCTGCCAACTTGTTGCTTTTCACTTGCATATCTTCCAGTTTGTGGGAAATCAGGCATACATCATCGGCGAAGTCCAGATCCTCCAAGTTTTTTGTGTGAGTCCATTTTAAGCCTGTTTCCTCATTGCCCGCTGTTTTTCGCACTATCCAATCTACTGTAATCAGGAAAATCATTGGCGGTAGTAGGCAACCCTGTCTTCACTTCGAAGAATTCCGTAAGTTTCCCGTTGTGGATTACTTGGCATGCAGTATTGTCGTACAACTTTTTTTTTTTTGATTTACAGCTTGATTCCACACCGTATTTTCAGTACAAGTATGGAATTTTCAGCATGGATATCGGTTGCCCAAATTCAGGCATACCATAGATATCGGGTGTGCGCCGGCAGGGAATCGAACCCCGGACCATGTGCATGGTCGGCGAGAGTACTAACCACTGTGCCACCGACGCACAACTGTTGGATGAGATGTATAATTGTCGGTGGAAATCCGTAGTAGCGAAGTAGTTGCCAAAGCACATCTCGATCGACGCTGTCGAAGGCCTTTTCAAAGTCGATGAAGTTGAGATAGAGAGGTGACTGCCATTCCAAGCTCTGTTCAATGATGATCCGTAATGTGGCGATCTGATCAATACATGACTTGTTTCTCCTGAATCCAGCTTGATCCGGTCAAAGTTTTTCATCCAGGGCTTGTTCGACTCTCTTCAGGATGATGCGGCTTAGTATTTTGCTTGGGATGGACAGAAGCATAATTCCTCACCAGTTCTTGCATTGACTTAAGTTTCCTTTCTTTGGTAGTTTGAATAGGTATCCTTTCTTCCAATCCTCGGGTACTTTTCCCTCTTTCCACACCTTCTCCAGTAGTGGCGTCATCAAGTCCGCTGTTGTCTCTGGGTCCATTTTCAATGCTTCTGTTGTGATTCCATCTGGTCCTGCTGCTTTTCCAGCTTTCAGCATCTTGATTGCCTTCAGGACTTTTGATCTCGTCGGGGGGTTGGTGTTCACTGGTAGCTCTGTCTCTGTTGTTGGTATTGTTGGGCGCGTTGTAGGTGACAGTCGATTTAGGAGTCTTTTGAAGTGTTCAGCCCAGTGTTTCCTTTGCTCCACTTCTTTGGTGATTGACTTTCCATTGTCATCCTTCACCGGCTTAATTTGTGCCAAACTTTTGCCCGATAGGTACCTAGTTGTTTGGTAGAGTGTTGCGAGGTCTCCTTTGCTCCAGCTTATTCTGCTTCACTTGCCATGGCTTCATAATACTTTCATTTGTCTTATCTGGCACTCTTCTCTACTCTTTTGTTCAGTGTCTTGTAGCTTGCATTCAAATCCTGTTTTTGTTGCTCGTCGGCGCACTGGATAATCTTTTGTTTCACCATCCCTCTCTCTTCTATCAGTCTCCAAGTGTCCGTAGTGAGCCACTGTTTGTCCTGTCTCTTCTTTCTGCCCAGAACCTCCATGCAGGTTTGACTCCACACCGCTTTCAGGTTGTCCCAGTGCTTTTCGACGCTGACCTCTTCGCCAGTGTTGGTTTGTATCTCGGCTTTGCCTTTTATACTTGCAGTGAAGATGTCCTTTTTGCCCTGGTCCTTCAGATTTTGAGTGTTGAACTTGGCTTGTGGTCTATCCGCAGCTCCTGCTTCTCTGAAAGCTTTTAGTTTGATTTGGAATGTCCCTTGTACGAGGTAGCGGTTTGAGCCGACGTCTGCTCCACTTCTTGCTTTTGTGTCCAGTAGACAGCGCCTCCACTTCCTTGAGATTGAGATGAAGTCAATTTGGTTTTTGGTTCGCCCATCTGGTGACACCCATGTAGCCTTGTGGATATTTTTGTATTTGTATACGCTACCACCGATCACTAGTTCATTGAAGGCGCAGAGGTCGGCGAAGAGTTCTCCATTTTCATTCATTTCTCCGAGAGCTTCTCTACCCATGATGAGTTCCCTTCCTGTGTTGTCTGGTCCCAGTTTGGCGTTCATGTCTCCCATTAGTATTTTGATGTCACCAGCTGGAGTATTGTCCATTGTTGCCTGTAGTTGTCTGTAGAATTCTTCTTTCTTTTTTTCGAGGTCTGCGTTGTTTGTGGGTGCATAGCATTGTACAACTGACACTTTCCTTCCTTTGGAGTTGAATCTGGCGGTCATTATCCTGGGTGAGATCGCTTCCCATTGCATCAGGGCCTTCGTTGCCGTTGGTGACATCATGATAGCCACGCCCTCAGTGTGTATGTGGTTATCTTCTGGGTGACCGGAGTAGATCACTGACTCATCCGTTGACAGTTTGGTGAGTCCATTCCCGTTCCATCTGCTTTCACAAATTTCCAGTACTTGAATTCCGTATCTTTTCATTTCGGTTGCAGCTTTGCCAATCTCGTGCATGGTGCGGACATTCCATGTCCCCACACAGACTTTTTCTTTTGGCGCAAGGAGATTCATCGTGCTGAAGTTTCTGTAGCAACTTTTGTGCGACGATAACTTCAACCATGTTCTTTTTTGACTGGCACGCAACACCCAGCATTAACTTACTCTACTTACACAGTATCGCATGAATCAGCATAGTTTCCAATCAATATGAAGAGAGAGCTACCTATTCTTTGCAGTAATCATTAGTCATTTTCTATGTGAATTCACCAATACAAATATCAACAAAGTTGATTCATTTTGATGTGATTGCATTTTCCGAGTCGAG